GTACTAGGAAAAGAGCAAAGGGTCAGACTCAAAGAAGCCTCCGTTCCTGGCAGCAGTCCTCCCGTCAGAGCAGGCGATGTTCTCGGCTTTGCAGTGCTGGGAGGTTCTGTTCCGTGGCTCCAGAAAACCCCGTCTGCACTGGCGGCCGCAGAAACAACAGCATTGCCCTTACGTTCGCTAATAGCCGGGAGGTTTTCACCAATTTTACTAGCTGTGCATCGGTAAGTGCTGCACAGCCCGGTGAACGCAGTTGTCGTAGTCATAGGTGACAGTTCAAAGCAAGTCAGTACGAAGAACATATTTCATTAATGCCTTCTGCTGCTGGGAACGCGCCACTCTTTCATGTCTTAACTCAAAGCCCACGCTGCGTATACTGTGCCACTCCAATAAATCCATCTGAAGCCTCATCTGAATTCTGATCTGCTGCTCCAGGAGAGCACACGCACATCCCGGAGAGCTCCCCAGCCCCCTTGCCAGGTACTGGTTTTACAGCCAACTGGAAGCAATAACAATAAGCTAATCCTTGTTCTCATCTAAGGATTGAGGGAGCAGTACAGGAATTGTAAGTCTTGCAAAATTGCCTGCGAATTTACTGGTTCAGGCAGGGTATCTGTCCAGTCACCCTTCGTTGAGATGGCCGGTGCTAATGAAAGTGCCAACAGCACTTTGTTGTGCCTCTACGAGCACAAATAATTCACAGAGCTCCCCTTGCTGAGTGTAGGGCAGTACTGGAGAACAATCAAACAATGAAAGACATTGAGAAACACAACCCAAGCACCCTTCAGCTGAACTGGTGACACAAAGACCTCCAAGCACTTACAGCCTCTCAGGCAGAAGCCAAAGTTTGATGGGCAATAACAGTTAAGGAAATTGTTTTAAAGATAGACGTGTAAATTGGGCTGTCTGATTGAAGAGATGCACTCAGGACACATACCGCAATCAGTGTCAAGTCAAGATCCCAGTTCAAACACAATGTCATTTTAATGACGCTCACATCTAAGGCCGAGACCAGCATGACGTGCTAAGTGATGTGCAACACAACGGAGAAAGAGAAGGAAATTTAGCTGATCTGACCTGAAATTTTCTTCCTCTGAGCAACAGAGTCCCCAGGTCTATAATGAGCACTCATTTTTGCTGACTTGCTACTGAAGAGCAGTGCAGCATCAGTCAGATGCCTTGGGAACGTCCCATGGCCAGCAGTCCGTCCTCCTCTGATGACTGTGCAGCTACACCGACAGGAGAAAGGGAGGTTTGAATCTGAAATTCAGCCTGTGCATAAGAAACAGCTGGTGGACAAACAGAGGATTACTAGGAGGCCACAGGACACTCCGCCCTTCCCTGTTCATCGCGGTCAGGTCTGCACAACCCTGAGCACGACCAACCTGCAAATACGATCATCTTCTCTTCTACCCAGAGGCACAGAGACTCAAAGGCTCCTGCTAAGTACAAACCAAGCCAAGAAAAGCCAGCCTGGAAATACTCATGTTCTGGTGGACACAGGCCTAGATGACCACGTGTCTGCTTAGCAGGTCTCAATCCTGAAGACCCATCTCAGGTCTCCATGCCCTGACAGCACTTCAATGTTGCACCGTGGCTTCTGGAATGAAGCACAGGATTTCTTGGATTTCCTCTGGAAATTTGAGCCATGAGAAAACAACTTGCCCATATTAAAACCCAACAGCTCTCCTAAGAGAGCACACTGGTCCCGTCCTTCCAAACATGTCTACCTGGAGATGGTTACCTGCAGCATGTTTTAATGTGGAGGATCCAGCAGGAAGATGTGAACCAACAGGCAAGATGCTGCAAGAACCACACCAAGCTACCAAATCTTGCACAACATGAGCATGCCCTACTGCCTTCACTAAGAGCAGGACTTGTGAGTCTCTGATCCCACTCCCCCCCCGCTTAAAAACCATCTACATCATCTTTTCAGGCTTTTTCTTCTCCAAGACAAGGCTTAGAAATTAATTGCACTTGCCCTAGGCGTGGTGCCCAGATAAGCTGCTGTGGCTCTACATGGCTGGTCAACAGACACCCAGGAAGCACCCAGGACCTCCTGCTCCATGCATCTGAGCTCCCTGCTGCCACAGACAGGTCCTGATCAGCGACATTTCCAAAAGGAGGCAGGAGTGAAATTTCCTCTTCATTAAAGCCAATATTAAAACTACAAAGATCCTGGAAGAGAACTGAATACACCTGACTGATCAAAGAACTGGATCCGAATAAAAATTAATAATAAAAACAGAATAAAATAATAATAACCAACCTAACACCTTATGTAAAGCAGGAGAAGAGCCCTAA